CAGACAAACAACACACAACCCAAGCATGAAATCCGCCCCACTTGGGAGCTGGGGGCAACCTCAGGGATAGGAGACACCCTCCTTTCTGGGGAGTCCTCTGGTTCCTGAAAGTCTTGTGGAAGGTAGAAATGATCAGGCAAGAGCCCAGATCAGAGAGGAGCAAGCTCTGCAAAGGAATGAGGGGCTCCCAAGAAAGGAGCCTGGGCACAGGTCGAGGCAAGAGGTCTTAGAATGGTGTGAGAGGTAGGAGGAAATGAGATCAGGGTTACAGGCTGGGACAGCAGGCAGAGGAGGCGGGTTGGGGGAGAGGCGTTGCTGAATGGATGGGGGAGGCCAAGAGATGTCATCAGCTGTTGCGTGGGGGAACACTGATGCCAGAACACAAGTTGTGGCAAGAAATGAACTGCTAGAGGTACCAAATGATTGAATGGGAGTTTAGCAGGAGGGAAGAGGGGTTTGGTCATCAGTAATGCCCTCCATTGGGATGTTACTACTCCATGATAACTGGTTCATAAAGCAGACTCAAAGTAAAACCGCTAGTGGATAGCAGGGCGAGACTCTCCAAAACCACATATGGCCATGTATCCCCTTTTACTGGGAAAAGCCTGGCTACCTGGGCGAAAGAGGAAAGATTTCAGTCTCTCTCCTGACCTCTGCCTAGGAACATCATTTGAGAGCTCACTGTGTCCTGGGAGTTCCACCCCCTGGAATCTTTGCCCTAAGTCCTCGGTCTGGCCTCATCCTCTATATAGACTTCACTAAGAGAGGGAAGACAGATCTTCACATCTAACAGAAGAACAGCACTTTTCTGGTTTTATTTCTTTAAATATGTGCTTTAAGAAGGACACAAATGAAAGGGAGAGGGAAGTAGGGCTTCCCTCTAGTCAGCCAAGTCAACATGGAAATTAATGAGGTGAGAGATGTCAGAACCATACTTGGCCTCTGAGCCTGACACAGAGCAGCTGAAAATCAGGCCTGGTAGGAAGACAGAACAGATTCTAAACTAAATGAGTCAGTCATGTGCTGTCAAACACCTGTAGCTTATCTCTTATTTAGAAAAGGAGAATGACAAGGATCCTTCTTCTTCATTTAGGAACCCCAGAAACTGATGGCAAAAGCCCCTAGCCAGGTTGTCAAGCCCTTTAGCCCTTCTGAGCTCAGCATTCTACCCGAGGCTACCAGGCCAAATGAGGGACTCCAAAAGAGAAGAAACACTCAGGAGTTTATCTATCACTCTTCTTCAAAACATGCATTCATTACTCAATATCTTCAGAGGGCTCAATTCATAAAAACAACCTAGTATGGACAAACACAGTCCTCCTTTCCCTTGTGATTTTGTGCCCAAGCAGAGAGGCAAAATATTAGCCTCTTGCTTTAGATTCATTAAACCTATCTGCAACTGAATGGACTTAAGTGACACTTTCTAAAAGTCTGGTCGAACATGGCTCCAGGAGACTTAAGTCAGGTCATCTCTCCTATAGGGACAGTTACAGACAGTGATACAGACAGTGGGTCTGGCCTCCTCCAGTATATCCCCAGACAGTAGTGCAGGACAGCCTTCTACCCCCACCTTCTTCCCTGTGAATGGGAAATGAAATAACCACAACTATAATGCAGGATAAATGTCTCTATAAGTTCCTACTTCCACTCTAAATTGGTCTGTAAACACAGGCACTGGAGAACAATAGTACAGACAATCCAAAAATATTTGCTAAATTTTCTAAAATCTATTTTAGAAATGGATCATACAAAGATTGTATACAATATTTATCCATTATATTAACCAGACATTAGATTGCATTCCCTTAATAATACTTGTTGAGAGCTGTTTGGGGGAAGCAAGCCTGAGGTTACAAATTCCCAGCAAAGATGACATAGAATGGAAAAAGAATAATTGCCCATATTTAAATAGTCCATTTCCTACCAAACTCTCAACAGTCTCTCTGCACAGAGAAACCCGGAGCTGCCATCCATCCACCAGGGGGCCAGGCAGCCAGCAGTCTCCCTACAGCAAGCACAGGGGCTGAGAGAAACATATTATTTCTAACCACTGCAGGCTTTCAGGGCATCGGAGGGTCTATTCTCATAACGTTAATGGTGGAATAAATTCTATCCTTCAATTGGTTTTCAATTTGACTAATTTATGGAAAGAGGAGGCAACCCAGCCAGGCATAGTGAAAAACTTCCTAATAGAATGTGGGTTTAATAACCCCTAGGATCTCTGAGACTAGTTAGCTTTCATAAAAGCATAAAATCTCCTTTTTCAAGCAAGATGTCCTGAGGCAGTGGGATTGGCAAGATGATTCTCTGCTTCCTCAGAGTCTTGAATCTTCTTGCCTAGGGGAAGCCAGATCCAATATCCAGGAGGTGAGGACTGCAGTGTTATTTTACAAACAAGTCCTCCCTATATCAACGCCACTTACTGTACTGGAAGCCGGTATTAAGTGAACCACTAGTGTAGTGCATCAAGGGCTTATTGAATATTGATTCCCATTTACGTGACAGCAAAATGGCCTAAGAAATCTTCTCTGGATGCCTCAGCCTCTTGATAAAGAGGGTGTTAGTTTTGTTTTATGAAGCCGGGATCCAGGCCAGTCACATCTTATAGCTCCACTTACTTTTATTTAATAAAAACAAGGGATGGTATGAGTGAGGAGGGGGAGTGTGTTGTATCTGTGTTGTTTTTCAAGAGGATTCGATCTGTTAGTAAAGCAAGAAGAACAAGAGTTAGACCTCAGTAAGGATTTTGCATCATTTCATGGGCCAAGGAAAGGAACAGAAAAATCCCAAAATGAACCAAGGCAGACACAGGTTCCTTTTCCAAGAAAAGAATTGTACCTGGGTGAGAAAAGAAAGGGATTTTTCTGGCCAACAAATACTAAACCAGAAAACAATAGAAGAAGATTGCTTTTGGCAGCAAGAGCAGAATCATAATCTCTCTTCAGGGAAGCAGGTATCCAAAGGTTGCCATATATTTTCCCTGTAATGCCAGATCTCCCCTAACCCAACCCTTAATCTACAGTATATGAGAGCTGTTCCTATTCTCCAAATTTTCTGGAAAAAAAGAGAGTCTACTAGCTTTCCCACACCACCCTTCTTTCAGCTTCTAGCAGAGAAAAATTCCCTAATGCTAAACATTAGTTCCATTCATCCATTTCTTTAAAATGTTCCCCTTGGAAAATAAAATACAGTAGTTTCATGGAAAGGAAGTAACAGCTCCAACCCAGAGGAGAATGAGGCAGGAGAGAGAACAAGGAAGGACAGGAGAGACGGAAGACAAATCCTTGCCCTGGTTCCCCCATCCCTACCCCTACCCCCACTCAACCTCTGCTCCTCGGTGTGAAGGACAGTAACCCCCAGAGGACTGAGGCATCTCTCTAGAGAACTTTCACCATAGAGCCATTTTCCTCCAGACTGACTAGATGGGGTGCAGAGGCAGAGGGATGACAAGATTGGAGACACAGCAACAGGGAGGTGAACAGGGGAGCTGGGAAGTGACCACAAATCGGTCAGCCTGCCAAGAGCCACTGACCCCGTTTTAATATCCCAGAGGTTGGAGGCGAGAGTAGAAATCACAGGCTCCAGAAAAAACAATCTTTGAAAGAAAATTGCCTGTCTCAGCCAGAGATATATGAAAGTGCAGTTACAGTCGGGGGGGGGGGGGAGCGACTGTAAAACTACACCTGGTTATTGCGCTGACACCATGATGCTTTTGCACTCCAAACAGTTTTGTTTGAAATGAAAAATCCCTGTGGACTTTGGTAACTAAGATGGTGTGGGATGAGGTGAGTAGAAGACAAGGGCAAGGCTCTGCGTCAGGGTAGAGACAGATCTGTGATGGCGGGGTGGGCAGTGGGATGAACGGATTTCAGGGACAAAGAGGAGTGGATGGCACCAAGATTTAGAACTCATGATAGCAAGGGCCAGAAGGCAGGAGAATTCTTATGCCAAGTTGCACCTCTGTCCTCTGACAGTCTCTGCCTGCCTTTCACTCATGTTTCTGCCTTTACAAATGACTTTATGTCTCTTCATTCCTTCACTTACCTCTCACTGTTCTTCTCTCCCTTGTCCATTTTGGTATCTTTCACTTTCTCTCTGCTTCTACCTCGTGCTCACTCTCTGTTCCTCTAACTGTGGCTGCATTTCTGTCTCTGTCTCCATAGTACCTGTCCTTCTCGTGATCCTTACAGTGTGCTTAAAGTCCAACCTTATATGTCCATCTATTTGGACATCACTCTTTCTCTTCCTAATTCTCTCTATTCTAATGAAAAGTGGCCAGGGAGCAAAGAGAGGGAATGCTAAAGAAAATTGTAAACTACATTTTATTAAGCACTTGCTAAATGCCAATCTCTTATTTAAATATTATTCTATTTAATCCTCACAACTAGTCTGAGAGGCAGGACTTCCTATCCACATTTCACAGATGGGAAAATAAGATCAAAGATCCTAATTAATATAATACTAAGTGGCAGAGTTGGGATTCAAACCCAGGCCTGCCTGACTTCAAATATCTTTCCCTTAACAATTAATAGACAAGAAAAAAAAACAGACAGAAAAGTGGTAAAAGAGGGAAGGGGAGGGGATATGAGAGCAGGAAAGATGGTGGAATGAGATGAACATCTTTACCCTAAGTACATGTAAGACTGCACATGTGGTGTGACTCTACATCGTGTACAACCAGAGAAATGAAAAGTTGCGCTCCATTTGTGTACAATGAATACAATGAATCAAAATGCATTCTGCTATAATGTATAATTAATTAGAACAAATTTTAAAAATTAATTTTTTTAAATCCCTGAGTAAGAACAAATTTCTAAGGAAATTCTTGACTTATCTACGACATTCCAAAATCTGAACTCTCCAATAATGGAATTTCATTTTTGAAAATGCCATTGTTTTATCAGAACAAGTGTGTAAATTACTGTGAATCATGTATAACACAAAGTAAAACAGAATTATTTAAGTTAAAATTTTTTTAAAAAATGATAAAAGAGGCCGGAAGTGGAGAGCGGCTGAGCGGAGTCCCGAGGATCTCCGCCAAGTAGCCCAGGGTGGCCTGGAACTTTTGATCCGCCTGCCTCAAGTCTCCGGAGTAGATATCACGGTGGTACATTATGGCTGACATGCAAAATCTGGTAGAAAGATTGGAGAGGGCAGTAGGCCGCCTGGAGGCAGTATCCCATACCACTGACATGCATCTAGGATATGGAGACAGTCCTTCAAAAGGAGCAGTTCCATATGTGCAAGCATTTGACTCACTGCTTGCCAGTCCTGTGGCAGAGTACTTGAAGATCAGTAAAGAGATTGGAGGACAGAAACATGCAGAGATGGTCCACACTGGTTTGAAGTTGGAGCGAGCTCTCCTGGTTACAGCTTCTCAGTGTCAGCAGCCAGCTGGTAATAAGCTTTCTGACCTGTTGGCACCCATCTCAGAGCAGATCCAAGAAGGGATAACTTTTCGGGAGAAGAACAGAGGCAGCAAGTTGTTCAATCACCTGTCTGCTGTCAGTGAAAGCATCCAAGCCTTGGGTTGGGTGGCTATGGCTCCCAAACCTGGTCCTTATGTGAAAGAAATGACTGATGCTGCCATGTTTTATACAAACCGAGTCCTTAAGGAATATAAAGATGTGGATAAGAAACATGTGGACTGGGTCAAAGCATACTTGAGTATATGGACAGAGCTACAGGCTTATATCAAGGAGTTCCATACCACTGGACTGGACTGGAGCAAAACGGGGCCTGTGGCAAAAGAACTGAGTGGATTGCCATCTGGACCCTCTGTTGGATCTGGTCCTCCTCCTCCCCCACCAGGCCCACCTCCACCCCCAGTCCCTACCAGTTCAGGCTCTGATGACTCTGCTTCCCGCTCAGCCCTGTTTGCACAGATTAATCAGGGGGAGAGGATCACACATGCCCTGAAACACGTATCTGATGATATGAAGACTCACAAGAACCCAGTCCCTGAGCAGTGAATGGGCAGAAGTTGGTCACCACAGTGACAGAAATTGCTGGATAAGCAAAGTGCCAGTGGGTTCTTTGCCCTCTCCCTTCACACCATGGGATAAATCTGTTATCAAGACGGTTCTTTTCTAGATTTCCTCTACCTTTCTGCTCTTAAACTGCTTCTCTGCTCTGAGAAGCCCAGCTACCTGCCTTCACTGAATATACCTCAGGCTAAGATTTGGGGTGGGATAGCAGGTCAGTTGATCCTCTGCAGGAAGGTGCAGCTTCTCCATATCGGTGTAGCCACACCACCAGTCCATTCTTAAGGAACTGCAGACCTGGACTGGTGCAATTTAGCTTTCAGCTTTTGGAGGTTATTCTTCCAACACATAGTCCTTTGGGAGGAATAAAACAGTCCCAGGAGTTAACAGATCAGAATGTGCACACTAGTTAATTTTTTTTTTTTCCTAACAATGAGCATGGAGGTAGCAGAAGCTGGTATGATTCCTGATAGTTTTCCTAACCAAACTAATTTTTCACTGTTGACAAGTGAGGCAAGGGTTGCATTGGACCAACAGCTGAGGCTTGGCCATCTAGCATTCCAAGCAAACTTTTGTTTCCTTTAAGCATTCCTTTATTCTGCATTCCATCCTGGGTCTGCCTCAATCATGAGACAGTAGGTTCTCCAGTCCTGGCTGCAGTAGCAGTGCTATGGGTCTTGTACCCTTTCTTTCTCTGGGATCCCTGCTCAGCACCTTCCTACAGAGATAACTTTAAAAGAAAAACATCACGCCATTCCAAGGAATGGGGCCCTCCTCCTCCTCCCCTGCTAGGTGCCTGTCATCCACCTTTGCTGCCTCCTTTTGCGTGTCATGCTCAACAGCTTAGGGCTCCTGTCCAGATCCCTGAGCAGAGGACTAAAACCTCCACTGCAGGTTGGTTTTAGGTCTCAATTTATGTAAGAATCTTGCACAGCATTGCTAATATCAGTTTTCCCCTCTAGGACACACTTACCAAAATATGCAACTTTTTTTTTTTTTTTGGTGGGAGGAGAGATTGTCCTGTGACTTCTACCCATTTCCTAAGGCCTGTGGAAATAAACCTTTATGTACTTAAAGTTATACAGAAAATAGAATAAAGTTAATACCAAAAAAAAAAATGATAAAAGAGCAAGTCAATAGGAAAGACCTTGGAAGAAAACTGTGGAGGCGGGTGCTAAGTGTTCTAGACCAACCATTGTAAAAAACTGGATGTCAATCCTTAAGCTGCCTGCCTTCAGACCTGATGGAACAATTAACAGATCTGTCTAGTAGATCATCAGTCCTCTTCTGATTCGAAAGTTGGATAGAAGGCAAGAGAGAACCACCAATCCTACAAGGAACACCCCAACCCCACCTGGGCCTCATCTTTACCTAAACCTACTAAACCCAATCTTTTCAACTGAGCCTTCAAAATCCTTTGTGGGAAAAGATTTTCTTTGTGGCTTGGGATGACATTATCTCTCACAGCCAAAGACACCTGTTCATTACCTACAAATAACACCATCAGAAGCTATATTTGATCACAAAATTCTCATGCCAAAGATACATCTCTTTTATCTATCCTCAATCTCCTCTTCGTTTTAAAGCTCTAGGCCTCTCTATGTCTCCTTTCCAGTACCTTACATCCTAAATTTTTTTCCTAGCATTCAAATATTTCCTGCTAGAACTGAATCTGGCAGAAACACTTTAGCAATCCGATTCTTGTATAAGAGATGGTGTCTTCTAGCTCCCTGAGTGCCTGGCGTGTGCCATGGCACATGAGATGGAATCTCTGTTATCTAGTGTCATTACAAATGGAATAATTGGTCATAAAAATTATGCAGCCTGTTGGAAAAGAAATAACACACACTCATTACAGATTCCTGAGATATCCTCTCCTTGTTAAAATTTAGGGTTTTTTCTTCATATCTCAGTCATCAACAATATCCCCCCACCTCCAAGTGCCCAAAACATTGAACCTTTCCTAGAAAGAAGTCCAAGACAGAACAAAGACTCTAAGCCACAGCCTCATCAACTGAACCAATACATGTCTTGCTCAACTGAGCCAATACAACCTGATTTAGAAGTTGAGAAGTTTTTTTTTTTAATGTATACTCTTCAAATAAAAGGACTATATGCAAATGAGTCAACATCTTAGATGCTTTTTGGACTAGAAAGGTGGGGCTCCTTTAAACTCTCCTCTCATCAGCCAGTCTATTCTGACATTGGTATGAAATGAGATATAGAGAAAGGGGGTATCCTTGCCTTCAGAGACTCCTCAGCTTGATGAAGAAAATACACATGATTAGGACATAGAAATACTGAGCCAAATGCTACAGTAGGAGTCTAAGAGTCAGAGTTTGTATAGAATACAAAAGAGAGACTTCTTGGTAATTGTTGAAGTGACACACATCTCAGGTTACCCCAGGAGAATACAGCAGCAAAAAGTATTCTTACTTCCTCTGAATGACTGAAATGCAGGAAATTATATTTTGAAAGATCTGGGTTGTACCCCCACTCCTGGTCCTCACCACCCATCCCATGTGCCTCATCCTGCCACTTCTGGTCATGCAGTAACACTCAAGGACTAGAAAATAGCTTGTGGCAAAATTCAAAGTGCACCATTTCAAAGGGTATATGCCGGTGGACATAACAAAAGATACACATGAGGTCTTTTTCTCAGGCTGCAATGTCTGAGGCCTCTGCTTAAATATAGAAGAGAGCAATATCCAGAGATCCAGGGATCCAGGAAAACATGGCAAAGACTCAGGGTAATCTTTTCTCATGATTCTGGGAAAACATACGTCTTATTTATTTTCCCATCTAACAAACTACTTCCTCCCAATTTACTCCAAACTACTTTTCCCTCCAGTTCCTTTATAATCCCTACTTGCCCTAAAAAGCAATAAGCAAGTAGATCCTGAAATCCCCTTCTGAAGATAACCAAGGAGCGCAAGGCTCTAGGTTAAAAAATTCAAACTCCCACCTCATAGTCTTTGCCTCAATGCATCACAGTTCTCTAATACCCAGAAATAGGAGAATAGGGAACGATATGCCTAACTCCCTTGGATTCCCAAAGGAAACTGGAGAGAGAGAGAAGGCTGGAAATGAGCCAAACAGACTCAGACTGACTCCAAGTTTTCCCAGCTGTGGACTCAACTTCTTGGAGTGAGAGCAAAGAGTGAGACGAGACGATTGCTATGTGAAGAACAGGTTTGACTCCCACACCCTGTCTCCTCTCTTGATGCCCCTCCTTGCTCCCTCTCAGTGGGGTGAGGAGAAGGAGGGAATTACAGCAGCTCCTCAGCCATTCCCAGCTACAGTCAAACCTCCTACAAAAGGTGAATCAGCACCAGCCACGGAGACAGAAACCAGGTTATTTTGAGAACAGAATCCCTGCATCCCCCTAGGACTTCAGTGACAAACCTCGGCTTGGGGACAAGTGCTTACTTCTGGGGAAACACCATCAGCCAACCTCAGAGTAAATTTTAGGGAACTCTGTCCCCATTCTGCTTCACTATGGAATAAGCAGCTAGGGAATTTCTCATTAAGTAGGACTGGTGCCTTCACCTTCAAAACTCTGAACCCTCTTGGCTTTGGAGAATCAATTTCCAGCTTTCTAGGCAATTCTGATAGAAACCTATAAATTCAAGGGATACAAAATACCCTTCTTCCCCTCCACCAAAATATTCATGTAGTTTGAATCTAATCTAGAGGTGTTACTGAGATAATTTTAACTTACAAACACCTGCAAAATCAATAATTTATTACCTCTTGTACAGCAGGGCTTCTCAGACTTTAATGTGCATGCCAATAATCTGGAGATCTTGTTAAGATTCAGATTCTTATTCAGTAGGCCAGGGGCAGAGCCTGAGTTTCAGCATTTTCTAACAAGCTTCCAAATTACATTAATGCCATTAGACTCTGAACCATACCTTAAACAGTGAGACTCTAGAATAGAGCACACTGAACAGAGAATGGATTCAGTGAGAAGTTCATGCCTTGGGGTTGCCTCCAGTCAGAGAGGGAAATAAGACACAGATAAAAAAGCAAGAACAGTAAAAGAGCAACCAGACAGAATACTAAATAGTCCAGAATAGTGGGGGAGGCCAAATAATAGAGGCTGGGGCATTTTAAGACATCAGACCGGGGCTGGGGTTGTGGCTCAGTAGTAGAGTGCTTGCCTCACATGTATGAGGCACTGGGTTCAATTCTCAGCACCACATATGGATGAATGAATAAAATAAAGGTCCATCGACACTAAAAAATATTTTTTTAAAAAAAGACATCAGACCAATTCCAAGCGTCAGTCGAGTTGGAATCAAATAGGAAGGTAAGGACCAAGTAGACTGAGAGAAAGAGTAGGGAGGGCCTCACATGCAAAAGATCAGATGATGAAGGGTGACTTGCAAGAGAATTAGGACCTAGAATTTTTTCTCAGTGAGAGACTCTGAACCAAGAAGCAATAGAAGCTCATTGGGATGAGTCTACAAGGATCAGTGTAAAGGGTCTTAAAATTTATTCTGAGGAGCTGAGATTTAACAGAAAAAACAGAGCCTCTGTAATCAGAACAATGTTTTGTTTTTATTTTGTTTTTTGTTTTTGTTGTTGTTGTTGTTGTTGTTGTTGTTGAGGTTTTGATTTGTTTGTTTTGGGGCACCAGGGATTGAACTCAGGGGCACTTAACCACTGAGCCACATCCCCAGCCCTCTTTTATTTTTCATTTCAAGACAGGGTCTCGCTAAGTTGCTTAGGGCCTCACTATATTGATGAGGCTGGCCTTGAAATCACAGGCCTTGAAACTGCAATCCTTCTGCCTCAGCCTCCCAAGCTACTGGGATTACAGGTGAGTGCCACTGCACCAAGCCAGAACAGTGATATAAGAAGATGCATGGAATTGTAGTGAAGAAATGCCAGGGACAGCAGCAAAGGGAAAAGTGTTTAATGAGTATGAACTTTCAGTTTGGGAAGATGAGAAGGTTCTGGAGATGGATGGTGGTGATGGTTGCATAACAATGTGAATGCACTTAAGGTCACTGAACTGTATACCTAAAAAAATGGTTAAAATGGTACCATACACGTGTATGTGTATATACTATACATATATATATATTTTTTTTCCTGTATCAGGGATTGAACCCAGGGGTGATTAACCACATCCCAGGCCCTTTTTATGTTTTATTTTGAGACCGGGTCTTGCTAAGTTGCTCTGGACCGGCTAAGTTGCTGAGGCTGGCTTTGAACTCACTATCCTCCTGTCCTAGCTTCCCAAGTCCCTGGGATTACAGGCATTTGCCACCGCACCTGGCCCCCATATTTATATCTTACCACACCAAAAAAAACCATAGTGGAGGCAGAGGCCAAAAGAAGATGCCACTCACTACTATATAAAAGGACTCAAATCCAAGCTCACTCTAGGCTGCTTATATTCTTAAGGATTTGAAAGAAAAACAACCACATTATAAATGGTTTCTGTTGTGCCTTTGAGCTCACCCTGTTCATCTTGAGTCATTAGGAACAGCTCTGCAGGTACCATGTGAGCAACTCCTCACCCTGCAGCCTGCAGATGAAAGTACTGCCAACAACAGGAAAAGAAGGTCCTTAAATGCCCAGGCTCAGAAGCCTAGGGTGCATGAAGCTATTTTCTGGTTCCACAAGGATATTAGGGCCAGGCACAGTGATGCACACCTGTAATTCCAGCTACTTGGAAGGCTTAGACAGGAGGATCACAAGTTCAAAGCCTGTATGGGCAACTTAGCAAGAGCCTGTCTCAGAATAAAAAAGGTCTGGGGATGTAGCTCAGTGGTAGAATGCTTGCCCAGCATATAAGAGGCCCTGGGTTCAATTCTTAGCCTCACAAAAACAACCAAAAAAAAAAAAAAAGACCATTAGGGATAAAAGGGATGAGCTGAACTAGTTGAGAATAAAAGCAAACTATGTGGCGGGGGGAGCTACTAACCATCAAAGTTGGAAGTATTCTCAAGAAGGAAATAATGGCTACCCTAAGAAGCCAAAGAAGCCAAGTAGCTCTGCTCTAAGTAGGGGACACAGAAGACACAGGGGGAAAGGCTGAGTCTCAAGCTAGATAACTGGAAGGAATC